GATATTCTAACCGAGCAGGAAAATTTCGAATTATTAAATTCACCAGACGGGAATTTCAACAGTTTCAGGAAATATCAGACTATAGTTTTTAGTTGATAACTCTGTTACATTTTCCTACGCAGGTTTCTGTATAAAAAACATCGATCTCTTCCTAATTGAAACATCGCATGCCACAAAATCTAGTTAAAAGAAGGAAGCGCAGAGAAGTAAGTACAAGGTTTATTGTATACGTTAGTGTATAGAAGCCCAAACGTAAAAAATATTCCTTGTTGCAATGGCATAAAGATATTATACTCAAGTGCAGCATACATTCAACTATAATAAACCGCACATCTTAAGAGATTACTTTATTTAACATAGACTGTTTTACCTAAGCATAATGTGGATCGTTTCTATTAATTGAAATTAGTGCTATAAAATAAGCTATGAAATACAGTAGCCTGACTCTGTACCATCCAAACCAATCTCATCGTAGAGATGAAAGTATTTACCTAACTCAACTGCATTCGAAGGTGATGATGGTTTACTCTTCCCTGCTTTATTCTCCGCTGTTACACGAAATTCATAACTCACAAACTCTTGCATCTTTTCAGTAGGCAGTGTGAAATGTGGTTCAGTGATTGTGAAGTCGGCTGACACATCCTGCCAACGCGTTGAATCTGTTGGTTTCATTTCGATGTAGAAGTTGGTGACAGGTCCAGAAGCCGACACCTGATCACTCGGCTGTTCCCATGTCAATTCGATAGTCTGATCTTTGATTGATGCTTTCTGTGGATTGACGACTGCTTTCACATTGATTGGACTAGGCGGTGGACCTAAATGTTAATCGGAAAATCGTGATGTGATAATGGAGAAATTTCGAGTAAAAATAATCGCATTTTTACCTCTTCAACTTCACACATATTTCGTTAAGTAAAAGTATATATATTTCCATCCATATTACTCATCATTTCGCATTACTAATTTACCAGATAGTATTGCTTACTGTTGACACATGGCATATCAATGGCGTGTAAACTCGATTATCACTGAGTCACAATATATAAGGCCTATAGCCCTAAATATGAGTCTCCTGCTATAGTGATAGCCTACCGGACAATATTTCGGCGTTTAAAATAATGAATACTGAGTTAATATCCTTGAGAGAATATTATGACTCATCACAATGTAAGTACTTGCTGGATTCTTATGTTAGTAATAGTAAAACTAATGAACCATGGATCCTTATTGTCCAAACTATTTGAACCATACTATTGGACAAGGAATTCAAGTATATGTAACATGCATTTTGGAATTTTTTGGGCAACCTTGAGAGGTGCTCCATTTTAAGAACTTCTCTCGATTTGATTTTAGTGTAGTTTACCCATATTAGGATCGAAATATCCTACTATGTTTCGCCAATGATTATGTGATAATGTGTGACTGGGTAAAGTTGCTCACTTTGTGGTTTAACTGTAAACTAAAGGTACTACACACGTATATCACTTCATTGTTAACTCTGCCTTAGAAACAGTTCACTGTCTCTATATTCTAGGATTTGTCTCATTCTTGATGTAGACTAGCATGAGAAAATATCATCACTGTTAAACTGATGAGTATGGGATGTAATGAGGTTATTTCACTTATACGTCAAGTAGATACCAATTGGGTTCTTTACATACAATCACAAATGGTAAAAGTATGTTACTCGATGCTCAGGGATGTGATCCTCAGCCTGCTTAGCATGAGTATGGAAGATGAGGAAGAAAGAAGAAGACGACAGTAATGACTGAAGCATGTTGAAGATATTTTGAATAGCTTGTGTCTCTGGCAAATCAGTTATTATGGTAGAGACTGAAGATGCATAAAAACAACTCCTATCCTGTTTTAAGGCAAGTTCTGCGAAACAACATCCTCGATCCTCTGATCCGTCAACTGATGTTTCTTTACAAAAGATATGCAGATGTTACCTTGATAATTTGGGACACCCTCATTACTAACTTCAGCACAGCATACCCTTCGATGAAATTCATTCTAGGACGTGAATCAGAAATGCGTTTTCCATTCCTGGATGGGCTACTCACTAGAAGACAAGATAACTCGATTCAAAGACCTATATATAGAGAACCAACATGGACTGTACAGTTTCTCGACTTCCACAGCTTTGTCCCACTGGATCCAAAATAAAGTTGTTTGGAAGACATTGTAGAGATCGAATCCGAATTTCTACGTGACACTCTAATGGAAAATGGATATTCACCTAGATTTATGGACAGAAACATGAGAGAAAAACTTCCAACGAGGAAGGTTGAAACTGTCCCTAAGGAAATTCACTTCGCGAGCCTAGAATTCAGGGGTGATATGATGCAGGAATTCTTAGAAACTGCTTTTCCAAATGTCTGAGGAAGATATTCTAAGCAGCTAATATTACGAGTTACATTTTACAGCAGATATATAATTTAGTCATCTTTTACGGAAAAGATGGTACTTTTGGCCACATCAGTGTGTATTGATCGGTTTACTTTTTTTGGTGGATCAAAGTATATCGACTGTATACAGAATCAAGTCTGGGAACACATTCTGGGACACTGGTGGACCTGCCTAACTGGCAAAGAAGAGACCACCAGTAGCTGTATCCTCGAACACCTCGGAAACTCTGGATATAGAGCATCCTCGCATGATTGCTTCACAGTAATACACAGAGTTCCTTAATATCGCACGAAAAGATTTCGAGTACACCATTTATACACAACCGAGTCACTGGTTATTGGGGACCTGCATCCAAAAGCACTATACACAATCACTCGCCTTACCATGACTAAAGTGAAATCCTTACCATAATACTGACTTGGTTTATCATTATCACTATCGCTATAACTGTTTGCTAATAACATCGTATTTTTCATAAGGATTTTATATAGACACTTTACCGTCTTTCAATTAGCGTTTGTCCATTTTATATCTTTAGGAATGATTGGTTATTTTTCACACTCATTAAGCAATTCCAACTTATAATCTCCGCTTAGTCATCCCCTTTTAGACTACACCTTGCATTGTGAAACACATTTTCTGAAAAAAAAAATTAACTTCAGCTTTTGCCTACCATGAACTACTTGACCTAATAAAACATGATTAGTTATTAGTATGTAATTTTGTTTTATGTAACTGAGTTACGTTCTCACTGCTACATAGGCCTTCAGGCTAGAACTTTGAATTTTTAGTAGCAGAGGGTGTTTTTATTTTTACGGGGTGGGGTTGCTAGCCTCACGTCGAACCTGCCCTCTTTACCTGATTTACTATCGACCAAGTGACGTTTAGGAGTATATCAGCTGAGGATAGAGCTTCGGGCCACGTGTGTGGTTGGCGAGCGCTCTACCGCTGAAAGATCGACGCATACCAAATGCGACCAGCGGGAGCTGAACCCGGATTGATTGCCTGGAAGGCAGCCATGACAAACACTACAACACGGTTGTGGCAAATATCACATTTTATTACTGTGAACCATGCTAGTTGTAAAGAGATCTTAAAGAAACTATGAAATGATATTACCATCTTGAGAAATTCGTCTTCCTAAAGCATTATTTAAATTTATTACAAGCAATAATTGTTGTAAAGCTCCTAAAAATGATTCTTCGAAAAGGAGTTAATCCTACTCTATCCGTGTCTTCTTTCTTTAATGTCTCAATATTGGAATTTTCTGTGCGTTAACTCCTATCCCAAAAGAAATGCATTGATGTAAACATTCTAATCATATGCTTGCAATCAAAGCTATCATGACAGTCATGTTAAAGGCGCTGCAGTTTAGCTAGATCAGTGTAATCAGGATTGTTGTAGTTGAAATAAATGTGGATGGCTATAAAAGATGGGATAGTATTCAGAAGAAATCTGATCTGCTTAACGACAGATTCCTGCAATGACATGACACAACCATCACAAAAAGAAACTAGTCATAACTATATGTCAGCAAATGTGGAAACAGGAATGGTAAAGTTTTTGACTAAAGTAGGGGAAGTGATAAAGGCAGTGATTCAAAAATTCTAATTCTAAATTCAAATATACAAAATCTGATTTCGTTGCTACTAACTAACTGGGAAACGCAAAAGCGTTCATATACTGAAAATAGTGATGCATTGAAAATAAGACATCTGAGGAAAAAATAACAATAGTACCCTACAAAACATCACAATACACTTCAGTTACAACAGAAAACAAATTACTAACTCACCATACTCCAACTTCGTAGAAACTGGCTTCGTCTCTGCAAACTCCGATTGACCAACATCATTCTTCGCCGCCACACTAAACACATACGACTTGTTCAACTGAAGACCATCAATCCTCACACTCAACTCACTCGTCACACTCACCGACCGACTAGCACGTTGACTAGACTCACGCATCTCAACCACATACAACAACTCCTGACTCACATCAACACCCGGTGCTACACCCAGGAATTCCGGCTCACTCCAACTGAACAACACACTCTCACCAGTGTTCTCACTCACCTCCAAATTACGAGGAACTGACGGCTTGTCCAACACTATCAACTCAATACTCACCGACACCTCACCCAACTCGTTACTGATCACCACACTGTACTCACCAGCATCCTCACGCTTCACCTTGCTCACAGGCAATGACGTCAATCCAGACACCACATCAGGCTTGAATCGTGGAGTCTGAGGTGCACCGAGCTCGGCGTCAGGACGTGTTCTCGGTCTCCATTTCCACTCCACCTTTGGTTTTGGACTGGCGATGAATGGGATTTCGAAGACAGCTGCTGATCCTGCTTTCATGATGACACGATCGGAGAATGAGTCTGACAATCTCAGTGTTGGTTCAACTGGAATAGAAAAGAAAGTTTCATAGAATTCATTATGTTTTATAAATTGTTTTTCAAGAATATACATATATGTATTGTTGAATTTGAAGAAATATAACTGATCATGGTTTATAATTGTTGGAGAAAAATTGTCTCTAAGGTTTTAAATATTTACAATAACTCACTTTTCATATCGACGTTCGCTTCACTTGCTAAATTCTCCACTTTTACGGAATATTTTCCTAGATCTTCTTCGGTCAATGGCGAGAAAATAATTCGGTGAATCTTTCCATTTTCTTGTTCTTCAATTTTTATCCTCTCTGGTAGTCGACTAAGTGCTATACCATCTTTATACCACTGAAGTTTTTCACGCGGAGTTCTAGATAGTTCACATTCCAGTATGACTGGCTCACTTGTGATTTCTTTTATGGTTACATCTTCCAAAGGACGAATGAATTCAAGCGGCATACCTAAATAAAATACATCATAACTATGTTAGCACTGATTCCTTTTTAAATTTATAACCACAAGAACTACTTGGATGGAAACTGCTATTATGAAAATATCCTACAAGTAATATGTATACGGAAAATTCCAGAACCCTACTTAGGTCCTCAGGAATCGAGGTTATCTGGCAAACTTTTTAAACTTTTTCTGGGAATCAGTGAATTCCACACAAATATGATACTTTTTGAAATGCTTTAGAAAAGAACTCAGCAAACGCAATTCATGCATTAACGCACAATCACACTGTAGGTTGTGAAACAGCTACAGGTAGTGTTGGTCATTGAATCTTTGTTCGCTGCATCTACACTAGACAATTGTAATAGGAACGATGCAGCACCAATATCAGAAATATGGAAAACATCATTACAAATAAAATTAAAGGTTAATAAACAGCTGAACTATATCAGTAAAATCTGGATGTTTTATGGTTATCTTGATACGATTATGAGTAACAAATTGTACCCAAAAACCATCTGTAAATAATACTGTATCACTGTATAATTTTATCAGATAGAAAACCAACCAAGGATGGAATTTAAACAGGCTGGTTACTTTAGCAACAAGAGGGGCCTATGAAACGAAATAAGTGTAAATCTACGAACTGTTAGCGAATAACAGACATATTAGTGCTATCCACGTGATTAGTTCAGATAAAACTGAGTCTCAAAGCCTGATTTCAGTCTTCGTTCTTATTATCTAGGAAACTTTAACTCCAAAAAGATATTTTCTGCATCTCGCTTTGGACTTTATCTTTTGACTTAAATCATCCAGAAGTATTTTGTTACGACTTTACTGAACTAATCGATCTGCTGATCATTTATCATCAGGACCTAATTATTGTTTCCTTTAATTCCTACAGGAACATAGGGCTTCAGCCGTGCCTCTCCATTGCGTTCGGTTCTCTGCTAGAGTCTTCACTTGGCTCCATGTCTGCCCCCACACACATTTATCTCCTCTTCACATCACCTCCTCCAAGTCACCCTTGCACTGACAACCAACTCGCCGCTTCCCTTTCGGGTTCCACTCGAGCAATAGCTTGTTTCCTCAGAGTGTGGTCAATCCATCTCCATTAATTGTTGCCTATTTGTTTCACAATCGGTTCCTGCTGTGTTGGTTCGCTCATTGCCAGAGATCTCTGTTGCTTATCAACTCTGGCCATCTGGTCTTGAGTGGCATTGAGCGAAGACAACTGTTAATGAAGGTCTGTAGTTTGTTTGAGATGCTCTGTATGACGCGCTGGCCAAGTCTCTGATCCGTATAGTAGCACTGACTTCACATTGGAGTTGAAAATCCGGATCTTATTCCCATTTTCATGCTGAGTGCTGTTGACCTCCACACAGACTTGAGAGTAGTGAAAGCTTGTCTTGCTTTTCCGATTCTTGCTTTGATATCCTCGTCAGTTCCGTCGCCTGTAGTTGAAACGATGCTTCCCAGGTAGGTAAGTAGGTGGAGGAGGTTGTTTCTCTCAGGTTCCTTCCATTTATGCTGATTGTTGTCTGCTGTTGTTGTTGTTGCTATTGGTGGTGTAGCCCAGGAATCTTCATCACCTCTGTTTTCTCCATGTTCACCTGAAGTCCTATCTTTGAAGCTTCTTCTGCTAACTTGTTGCTTTCCGCTTGCATATCTTCCAGTTTGTGGGAAATAAGACATATATCATCGGCGAAGTCCAGATCCTCCAAGTTTTGTGTGTGGACCTAATACACAGACTAATTAGTACTCACACAACGAGTCAAGGATAAATTACCGAAGATTGCCTCATCAGTGTGCATCTATGAATACAACTGCTCATGTGGAGCCAGTTATATTGGCCATACTCAGAGGGCTTCATCCATGCGCGCAAGTGAACATGTATCTATTTGGTAGAGTAAAGGGGTAACCAAATGCATGAATAGTGCAGTTTTAACCCACTTGGTAGATACTAGACACCCGATAAAACCTGAGCAGGCGTTCTCATTTATTTATCGCTTTCCTGGTAACCTATCTGGAGGATCTCTACTATGTCTTTTATCAGTAGCTGAAGCGGTAGCATCAATACCAGAAGACCGGCTCTCTGTAGGTAGAAGAAGTATGTTCAACCGTTATGTTTACTTTGGTCTACAATAAGGCCAACACATTTTCTATAAACATTAGCACTTTAAATTCCTATCACAATATTTTCTTTTCTTCTTATTTTCCTTTCTTTTATTGACAAACGTTTATTTCTGACCATTTACGAATTCTTATGATTTCTTTTACCTTCAGTTTAAGTAATGCTTTTCTAACTTATTATCATATTTACAAAATCCTGTTCATTTCACTTCACTAAATACATTATTATTATTATTATTTGATAATCATTCACCAAAAGTACTTTTAAGTTTACACCACATCATCGTTAATATTGTCGTTATTTTCAACCTTGAACTTATGTCTAGTCCATCCCATTCGTTGGTTTATTTTCTGGATTATCTCAAAAATGCGATGTATTTGCGCTACACATTTCGAACAGTCTGATCACACATTTACTTGTCAAGACGATAGATGTGGACAAAATTAAGGGCAGTTAAATTAAACGAAGTGACAAAGAAAAGAAGAAACGTTTGGTAATCCAATCAAATAAGGATTACCAAGGTAGGTTAAGAGTAATAATAAACTGTTTTTTTGAATACACAGGGGCGGGGGGCTTAAGTTTATGAATAGCTATAGACTCGGCGTATTTCACTAAGCGTCCTTGACCACTTTTATAGATGACCTTAAGGGCTTCCATATTGATTTGTTTATCTGATGTATCACACAGTGAGACAGTATTATTTGCTGGATGACGTTTCGAACACAATTTATTGTTCATAATCATATCATTTATAATAAATAATACTGTTTCACTGTGTAATACATCTAATAAACAAATCAATATGGAATTACTTACTACCACAATGCCCAAGTTTTACACTATATTAATTTGACCTTAAAGGCTGAGTTAACATCAATCTCGATTAGGTGTTTGACACCTGGGTCTATTGGTTTTCCACAATTCATTTGTTTTTCTAACCATTTCGCGATATGCTCTCCCACCCTCAAATGCAATGCGCGATTACTCCTCCCTATGTATGTGTGTCCACACGCACGAAAATCAGCAAATGGTGTGGGATGTGACATAATCACTTGTGCACTTTTGAGGTTTGCAGTGGAGCGTATTTTTGGCTTTTTCAATAATTACAAGCGGGGATGCATAATAGGTTCTACGGATGACCGAATTCAACCTTTCTATAGTATTCATGTTGTCTCACACACTACTGATTACACTCACCCTTGAAACCTGTACTTTTGTTGACGATTTTTTTTGTCTGACTATAATTTAATGATTATATATATGAATATCATATCATTTCATATATTCATCTCATTTTATCTCGTGTTCTCATTGACCAGGCATATTGAAGAACTAACTGACTATTGTTCCAACCCATTTTATGCTTGTTTCACAATACATTTCTGATATGATTCTAATTTGCCTTTACTGGCTAATGTATGCTTAAATTAATGAACTTATAATTATAGTTCAAATGAACTGTCGTCAAGATTTGACAGAATAGTTCTAAAATATTTGGGCGCCGAGTGAGAAGTAGACATTTGTCAAAAATTATATTTGTAAAATCTCGGCGAGATTGAAATGAGTAATTCCAACGTTTCGTTCGGCAATCTGGTCCCAACTTCTTCAGGGAAATTAATCGAAATTAACATAACATCGGTTTATATATAAAAAGGAACATCACTTGTTTTTAAAAATTTGTCCAATCATGAGTCATTCAAAAAGTACCAACAAGTATAAAAACAAAATTTTTATGAGCTGTGATCAAAATTTGACCTCGGACTTACAAATATTGGTCTACCTTTGTTAAACACTTTAAACAGAGTGTGTATGTGTGTCTGAGTAAACAGTTGTAAAACATTTCTTAACGTCTCCATAAGAAGATATGGACAGTCAGGAATTTTGACCAAGTATTAATAATTAGTGATACATATCCATTTTTATTTATTAATCAGGATTTCCTATACATCAGCTAACATCACACCTTCATGCCTGTTCGAATTGCTAGTATCTAGAATTTTATGCTTAGACTTATTTTCAAAATTATGGTGTTTAGGATTAGAGTTTAGTAGAAGCACCCTGTTGGACTTATTGTTTTGTCTTCTTTCTGAATATTGAGCTGCTTTATTCGACCTACTGGAGTTGTCAGGTGAATCGACAGCTACGGATTTAGGATATGCATTCTGTTGCAGACAACAAAGAAACTGTGTAATTGGAACAATCATCGTGTTTTCACTCTCCGTCGTCCGTTGTTTTACAACTGTTTACCCACACACACATACACACTTTGTTTAAAGTGTTTAGCAAAGGTAGACCAATATTTGTAAGTCCGGGGTCAAATTTTGATCACAGCTCATAAAATTTTATTTATTATGCTTGTTGAATGACTCATGATGTTCCCTTTATATATAAACCTCTGTTATATTAATTTCGATTAATTTCCCTGAAGAAGTTCGAACCAGATTGCCGAACGAATCGTTGGAATTACTCATCTCAATCTCGCTGAGATTTTACAAATATAATTTTTTACAAATGTTTATAATTATAGAGCCTGAAGAAGACCTTATTAAAAACAACTGTTCACTCTAACTGTTTTTGTCCTGGATAAATTATGGGAATATTGAAGTTACTTTGATATTTAAAAACCAAAGCTTAAAAAGTGAGCATACCATATCATATCACAGAGACTAACAAAGAAAAATCCCTACTTGCACAGGTGAGTAGAAATCATAGGAAAAGTGAGATAAATATGATAAACTAGGAGAGCATGCAATCCTACGTTGAGCTCTAAGCTTTACTCGCGTTTAATCAAATTTATGAACAGTAGTAATTCATTATAGGTACCTCTGTCTTTGAGAAAAAGTTGGGATAAACTTCTTAGCCATAAGTTAAACATAGCTCATTCAACATTTCTCCCTTAGGATGTTTATCAGCCGGATCGACACCAGATGTCAGTCTGTAAATATCAGTACAGGAAATTACTTTTTGAAAAGACTGAGGAACTAAGATCAATATTCAACAGCTGTCAGTTTAGATAATTGCTAATATCGGCTTTATCAAAGATCTGTTAGGATCATATAGCAGCCAGTCAGTTGTACACAGACTGAATTAAGACCACTTTTGTTCACCTTAAAGACTAAATATGAAATCCGTTGACACCTTCTTTAGAATATTTTGTGCTTCCAAAAAAATTAGATTCATGGGAAATTCACAGTGGAGAAATAAAATTCAGTAATCAAACAGTCTACATTATGTATCATGGAAACACATCTTACCTAATTCAACCGCATTCGAAGGTGATGATGGTTTACTCTTCCCTGCTTTATTCTCCGCTGTTACACGAAATTCATAACTCACAAACTCTTGCATCTTTTCAGTAGGCAGTGTGAAATGTGGTTCAGTGATTGTGAAGTCGGCCGACACATCCTGCCAACGCGTTGAATCTGTTGGTTTCATTTCGATGTAGAAGTTGGTGACAGGTCCAGAAGCCGAGACCTGATCACTTGGTTGTTCCCATGTCAATTCGATAGTTTGATCTTTGATTGATGCTTTCTGTGGATTGACGACTGCTTTCACATTAACCGGACTAGCTGGTGGACCTACAAGGTTGCAAACGAAACCAAAATTTCATTTAGATTTTATGAAATCAGTAGAAACTCTTTAGCGGAATTTTTCCCTTTTAAAGAACATATCAACTGACGGTTTGTGAAGTCTGAAGAGTATCGTTATTGTGGGTAAGACACTTTCCACAATATCAATTTAGGAGTGCAAATCGAACGAGTAGCGGCTTGTGAAACGGAATTATTGGCTATATTTCACTATCATATAGTGCGTTGGAGAACACAAGTGAACACTTTATTTTCACTTGTTTTTTGAAATAGGTATTAGAAGTTTATTGTTGTTGAAATGATCACAATATGCCTTTACATTTGACAGCCGATGTAAGTACGGGCCAGTGAAAGCCGGGAAGGTGCTGAAAATATTTGTGACTAAGACTAAAGACGCCAATACTTTCACATAATACGATATATAATCCATAGATAAAACTATAGAATTCTGTCGTCCATGAAACGTCCAGTGAAATACAAGTCGGATATGCGGTTAGTATTAGGATTCGAATTCCAGATGGGTTAAGAGTAAGAGTAATAATACAAGTTAAGACTGAGGTCAAACGGAAGATTAAGTTTACAATCTAGCAACAAAGACTTTTTCTACCGTTGAGATGATAGAGGAAATGCGTGTTATTATAACGATAATACTTCTAAATCCCGTTAAAAATGTCACTAAAGAACGTAATGTCACTCATTTGTCTATTTGCAATTTGTCTTACATTCTGAATGACTGTACGCTTTTTGTGTGTTCAACTGACAATGACAATCAATGGACTAACATTCCATCTTGTACTTGTTACCTGACAATACAGTTATGGTTGTGATTTTTTCATCTGCCTTTACTGTCCATTTGTATTATAATATTTATGTATTTAAAATTGTAAAGACTGGAGAAATTATTTGGAAAACAACTGTTAGTCCAGAAAATTTCCTTCTTCTGACCATTAAGAGTGTATTTTTTATAACTGCACTGCACCGAATGTGAACCGTAGTCACTTTGTTATGTCTGCGCCTGCTTCCGATTCACTGAGCCACACAAATATCAAAAGACAAAGGCTGACCTGTGACTGTAAGTTCCTGTAATGTACTGTATATTGTAAGAACCACTATCGGGAAAACAACACACAGTATTTATACATTTTTACAACAACAAAGACGGCTAACAGCGTTTGAAATGATTGATCGCATAATCAGTCACAATATGCGCGAGAAACGATGATATAATATTTTACGCGGGATCCTAACAGTATTAAAGGCTCTTTTTATGACTTACGATCCGACAGCGCATGAAGAAGAAACTGCACCTTATGTCCACCTCGATAAGCATCTCTTCTTTTACATGCCTCCATGAAGCGGATTACATTGGGCGTTGTAAACTCAGTCTCCAGAAACTTACAGCTAAACACCACGTGGTTTGGTTGATGACATTCGAGTATAGGATGATTAAGTCTTCAGTCGTGCGTAGGTGGCACAGAGGTAGAATGCTCGCTGACCAAGCATGTGGTTCGGGGTCTGATCCCCGACCGACGCACTCCTAAACCTCGCTAAGCCAGTAATATGACTGGCAAAGAGAGAAGGTTGGACATGAGGCTAGCAACTGCATCCCGTAAAAGTAAACACCACTGCTACCAAAACTTCGTAGCACTAGCCTGAAACCCTATGTCCCACTGGGGACGTAGAGGAATAAAAAAGGTCGTCCATCAATTAACATCTTCTTAAGGAGGGTAGTTCAGACAGGTGATATTTAATCTTTAAAATTATATATATATATATATATATATATATATACAGGGTCTAGATGTACATCGACTTCGTCAGCTTTCAACAAGGTACCTGCAGTAAAATGAGGAAAGACTCATCCTAAACTTGATCAGCCTGATATAAACAGATGATACAATCCAGAAAATAGAAATTATTCATAAGGAGTTTACACAATAATGATGCAGTGACTATTTTATATACAGAGAATTGTTTTCTAAATTTCAAAATCCATCAGAAGAAGAAAACAGCAGCGGAATGTAACTGTTTACAGAGTAGATTTCTGGTACATTGAAATACCGGATATCGTATTAGCAAACTGAATATACGCTCAGAGAACACGTGAGATATTCTGCCATACTGATATATTTCATTTAGTTTTCTCAAAATCTACTAGACAATAAATCTTAGAAGTGAATCACGAAATAGTTGTATAGGCATATCAAACATTACAAAGAAACTCAGGTGCAAAGTATGAATAAACTCAAAGAGCATTGACTTATATATTTCAAAATAAAGCTTACCGTATTCCAACTTCGTAGAAACTGGCTTCGTCTCTGCAAACTCCGATTGACCAACATCATTCTTCGCCGCCACACTTAACACATACGACTTGTTCAACTGGAGACCATCAATCCTCACACTCAACTCACTCGTCACACTCACCGACCGACTAGCACGTTGACTAGACTCACGCATCTCAACCACATACAACAACTCCTGACTCACATCAACACCCGGTGCTACACCCAGGAATTCAGGCTCACTCCAACTGAACAACACACTCTCACTAGTGTTCTCACTCACCTCCAAATTACGAGGAACTGACGGCTTGTCCAACACTATCAACTCAATACTCACCGACACCTCACCCAACTCGTTACTGATCACCACACTGTACTCACCAGCATCCTCACGCTTCACCTTGCTCACAGGAAGTGACGTCAATCCAGACACCACATCAGGCTTGAATCGTGGAGTCTGAGGTGCACCGAGCTCGGCGTCAGGACGTGTTCTCGGTCTCCATTTCCACTCCACCTTTGGTTTTGGACTGGCGATGAATGGGATTTCGAAGACAGCTGCTGATCCTGCTTTCATGATGACACGATCGGAGAATGAGTCTGACAATCTCAGTGTTGGTGGAACTGAAAGTACATGAAGAAATATATTCATAGGCGTGAGTCAAAAATGCTTTATTCTTTGATTTCCTTGAAAGCAAAATTAGTGATTATAATTAAATGTGGTAGCATTTTAAAGGTGGGTGTCTGAGACTTTTCTTTCTGACGTATATCAGGTTAGCTTTCATTGTATGAATTAGCAGCCATTACATTTGAGCTAAATTTTCGATTTTAGTAATACTGCCAGTATTTTTGTACATTAGGAAATAATTTCTTAAGTGAAAAATAATAACTATTATGTATTGCGTAAGAGATGACTGCCGAAGCACAGTGGTCCAGTGATCAAGTGTTTGGCGTTCGAATCGATTCAATTGTTACTGGCTACACCATCACTCAGTTGAGATGCAGGTACACGCAGCTGGCTAGTCTAAAATACGACGAGTTACACACTTTGCATTCCACTGCTGGCCATTATCAACGGAATGACATTTCTCGACGACATTTAGTCCCTCAGTATGGAATTCCAAGACTTCGCGCATTTTTCAAATTACCTTTAGTCTATTCACCTAAACACTTCTTATTTTTAAATCTGAAATTAACGGAACGATCTCTGTGTCTTAGTTTTTTTTACTGAATTGCATATTTATTCTAAACAGTTATTGCCTAGAATTATTTTATTTTATTTGCACTTTCCCGTTGATTGATTGAACCGAAGTGCTTGGCGTCAGGTTAACATATCGGCTCCTTGTGCGATGCTTCGCTTTGGCGTGTGAAACTGTGGGTACTGGGTTTGGGCCTTAGTGGGAACACCACCACCAATTGACTGGGGAATGCATATACATCCAGACGACGAGTCCTAATTTAGGAAGAGATGCGCGTCGTGAATTCCACTGCTAGTCACCATCCACCAATTCACTTCAATTTATTGCCTAGATGCTAATTTTTTGTCTTCAGTGACGGTGCTCAATTGGATAGGAGTAAGACTGATCATTTTTACGACAAAACTTATGATGAGGAAAAACCTCTTACTTGTGATATCAAGATATAACTACTCTCTTGATTGATTTAAAGGAATATGCAGACCAACCATAATGCGTGATTAAGTAATTTATATCAAATTGGTAGAGATTAATTCCATATTAGTTAGTACATGAGACGTAACACATATGGAAACAGAAAGTAACACTAAGAATGTATGAATGTATGTGCAGTGTCACAGGCAGTTTTTTACTTTTTGTAGACCTTTCTCCATCTTGTAGTGGGAAGCATCAATAGCGCGATATAAGACCACCTGGTCCAAACCGGACACAAAGCCATCATTGGGCAATTCTTCTCTATCATCTACTGGGTACCAAATAAATTGCCAAAAACATCCAGGTACCGCATACTCCAAACAGCAGAGGCTATCGTGATCCACCTTAAACAACCGGTGCTCTGTGTGCAGAAGAAGCAAGTCTAGCCAACCACTAATACTGTCCTGGACAGCCTACAGTGGAGACTATAAATTCATGAATTCGTATTATCATCTTTTCTAATTTTTCTGATATTCACTGTGTTGTTGTGTTGATGTTATCGAACTGCAATCCCTCGATATTCTTATTGATTCGATGTTATTGAAACAACATTAACGTTGTTAGTAACACTAATTCATTCATTCAACTTGATAACTAGCCTTACATAGTTGTACTCCCTGCTGTTTTTTATTGCAATTTCCCATATATCCATTATTGGCTTTGCGTCACTTCGATTGCACATACTTGGTAAAGATTCGATGATTGACCTCTCCCTCTCTCTCTTCCCAGCTAATTATATTTATTTTCAATATTTTCATTGTTTCCCACCCTATATGCATGTGAATGCATTGAAATGCTCAAACATTTTTATAGATTACTCAAGCCATGATGCCCATAACTAGGATGAAACAGCTGTCCAGTACTCCCTGGTTTTCAATGCTTCTTTAACTGATATCAACCCATGGGCAAACTCGTAAAAATAAGTCTAATCCTTACAAACCAACTATTGAAAATTAATCTGATGCTCGCTAGTGACTTGCTACAGGATGGAGTTTCCTGGAGTTCTAGTGAGAAGTCGTGACCAGTGAGTTCCATCCAGTCGGCAGTGAGGATGGATGTCCTGCCGATGACAATGGTTGGGATCACGCTAAATCACGAATTGGTAGAAGTTAGAATTCATGCACTGACCATTGAATCGGGTCCCATTGACTGAATGGTATATGAGCTTACCTTGTAACCAGAAGTTCCTGGCTCCCAACCCAAATGGGTGTGTACTGCCGACGATTCCCAAACTAGGATGAAACAGCAGCTGTCCAGTAATCCCTGGTTTTCACTGCTTCTCTAACTGATATCAATCCATGGGCAAACTCGTAAAAATTAATCGTTCTAGGTGAATTCTTATATCCTAATAGCCCAACTGACCCCGATTTACTAGTTTGGTTTATGTAAACGACCTGATAGTCATTATACTGCATTTGATTAACTATATAAATTGTGTAGTTGGGCCGATCGAATCCAACGAATTGGTTTCTGAGTGAATTCGTTAGCATAAATGCCATTTTAATTCCAGCCTTATTAAAAATCTCAGGTAAAGTTCCAAGTGTCTTAAGAAGGAGTAGAACTGTGGATAAACTGACATAGATTATAACAGATGGATGTTATCTAATTAATAACACTGTATCACTGTGTTACATCAGATAAACTTATCAAATATCGAATTGTACTCATATATATAATATGCAAAATACCGTTTGTGGTGAGAATTTATGAGAAAACAAAACAACCGAACAAATCGTATAACATACTCTTCATATCCAGGGTGGCTTGTGAAGACAATTTTTCCACTCGTATCGAATATACACCTAAATCGTCTTCACTTATTTGATTGAATACAATACGATGAACTTTCCCATTATCTAATTCTTCAATTTTGATTCGATCAGGTAGTCGACTTAATACTTTGCCGTCTTTTAACCATTGGACTTTTTCACGTGATGCACGAGATAATTCACATTCTAGAATAACAGGTTCATCAGTGAGTTGAGTGACAGTATAGTCTGTTAGTGGACGTATGAATTCCAGAGGAGTACCTAAACAGGAGGAAGTAATAATTGACATGAGAAAGTTTATGTGAAAGCGAAACATCAGTCACAAAAGTACAAATTAATTTTATTTCCTTGTTTCGAATGTAGACATTTGAGTGATTTCAAGGTGTATTTCGTCAAGAACTAACATAAGTTAGTGGACTTTTGGGAACCAGGCAGCATTACCACTCAAAATGTGGGAGTTAATCTGCTGCTCACTAGTGTGACTAAATAAGAGATGAACTTCCTGATGCTTTAACGAGAAGTAACCACTGGAGTCTATCACGGTGGGTATGAGAATAGGTGCTCGATAGTTTTAGATAGCACTTGCGCAATATCATGAAATCTTAAAGGTTCACGTGCATGGAAATCCATATTCTAACACAGAGACTGAATAGTCGACCACCTCATCTTTTAATTTGATGGTCCTCCATCGATTACTGGTCGCGTTATGGGCGTCTAGGGGTAAAGGGCAAAAGAAGGATGAAACAGCCGTCCTGGACTTTCTGGAGGTCCTTCAGCTGATATAATTTCGTGACAAATGTTACCTTATTACAGCTTGAGATGTATAACCAGATGTGGTGGCAAGAAGCATTCTTCCCTATAACTGAATAGTAATGCTAAAAAAATTAATTAAACATTAATAAGAATCGGTGTAATGTTAGATGTATTTGATACAATTCCAAAAAGTTACAAACTATAATTTTAGCTTATTATCATTATTATTATCCACTGACTGATTCAAACAGATATGTTCTAACTTACCTAATTCAATAGCATTCGAAGGTGATGATGGTTTACTCTTCCCTGCTTTATTCTCCGCTGTAACACGAAATTCATAACTCACAAACTCTTGCATCTTTTCAGTAGGCAGTGTGAAATGTGGTTCAGTGATTGTGAAGTCGGCCGACACATCCTGCCAACGCGTTGAATCTGTTGGTTTCATTTCGATGTAGAAGTTGGTGACAGGTCCAGAAGCCGAGACCTGATCACTTGGTTGTTCCCATGTCAATTCGATAGTTTGATCTTTGATTGATGCTTTCTGTGGATTGACGACTGCTTTGACATTGATAGGACTGGGCGGTGGACCTGAAAATGCAAAAGAATGAATTTATGAGACTTGTTCAGCAGTTATCTACCGGACTTAGTACTACTGAGAGGCTACATCAGTACTTCTAAGTAAGGAGCCATGAAGCGGCAGCATTTGCATTCTTTCAATCTGAAGTAACTATGATGACCGTTAGCATTTTCAAACTGAGCAAGTGTTTAATTTTTAACACTAATGTCAGTTCAATGCTTGCATACGGTTCAGTTAGGTGAAATGCTCACCAGCGGAAGCATTTCCAAGTGATTTCCGAGAACTTTCATCAACACCTGACTTCTTTTGATACCGAAGATTAGATTGCTGCCCAGAAAGGATGAACAGCAAAGAATTTTGACAAGTAACTATCCGACGGAAATCGACCGCACAACAAATGCAACAGAAAATGGAAGTGGAGTGGGCATAGGCTTGGAAACCTTCAAATGATATCACGTGTTATTTCCTCAAGTGGACCTTGAATATAAAGAGAGAAGGTGGTCGTTCGACAATGACAGGGACGAGATCAGGTAAAGGAGGAAATGAAAGCTTGTTGACAATCCTGCAGTCGGCTGAGAGTGGTGATATAGGACAGAACGCAATGTACATGCACTGGTAAAGTCCTATGTTCCACGTAAGGAATGAATAGTAACAACAATGATTCTTGAATATAATCATATAGAAATTCACTGCAATTCAATTTTTAATTTACTATCTATGCATGTAAGCCGGAGCTTTTATCCAGGACGGCCGGTGACAGTCAGTGGTTCTGCTCAAAAGTACTGAATCTTTTGATATTCAGTATACTATCACACTTTACTGTTATACAATAAAATTATTCAGTATACGCATTTAATAGCATTGTGTTTACTAGAACTAAGGACGAAATATATGAAACAATGATACACCCTTACCCTCCCCTACTTACCGCCCCCACTAAATTAAAGTCATAAATAGAACAGAAAACGAAGTTAATTGATCATTTTTTTCATTTGCTTCGAACAAGTAAATTAGGAGATAGTCAGATGTAGAGACATTTCCAGATGAAATCGTGGGTTTGTCAAATTCAAAGATTTGACCCTCTTACGTACAAATGGAACCTCATCAGCACACTGATGTTCCGAACTAGGAAAGTCTGTACAGTCGAAACTCTGAGTGATGAAATAAGAAGGATGCAGAACTCATTATTTGAGAAGGAATAACCGGAAAAGATTGTAAAAGTCGCTACAGTGAAGAGGAGTGCTTACAGACAACTAAGAAGAAATGTTTATCAGTGAAATTGTAGTTCAAAGGAGACGTAGCTTTTGAATAACTGACATCTCAACTTTGAAAAACAACAACCAAAGTATTCTGTACCACAACCCTATGTCAAACTGTCTATGCGTTGTACCATTCCAGTGCACATAAATAATAAACTGCATAATCTTATCACTTCTCCTGTTGTGTAGTATGTGGAAATACACACACTGTCGCTTTCTTGAGCATATCATAATACAGTTCGGAGAAGGAATAGTACACTCTATCAGAAGTTCTATACTGGTGCTGATGCAGAGAGCGACAAAGATAGAGATGCAGCTTTCGCTGTTATATAAAAAGCGACTTCATGTTCATGTAGAGAAAATAGTCATGCATTGAAAATAGGACATCTGAAAAAAAATAACAATGGTAACCAACAAAACATCACAATACACTTCGATTACAACAGAAAACAAATTACTAACTCACCATACTCCAACTTCGTAGAAACTGGCTTCGTCTCTGCAAACTCCGATTGACCAACATCATTCTTCGCCGCCACACTAAACACATACGACTTGTTCAACTGAAGACCATCAATCCTCACACTCAACTCACTCGTCACACTCACCGACCGACTAGCACGTTGACTGGACTCACGCATCTCAACCACATACAACAACTCCTGACTCACATCAACACCCGGTGCTACACCCAGGAATTCAGGCTCACTCCAACTGAACAACACACTCTCACCAGTGTTCTCACTCACCTCCAAATTACGAGGAACTGACGGCTTGTCCAACACTATCAACTCAATACTCACCGACACCTCACCCAACTCGTTACTGATCACCACACTGTACTCACCAGCATCCTCACGCTTCACCTTGCTCACAGGAAGTGACGTCAATCCAGACACCACATCAGGCTTGAATCGTGGAGTCTGAGGTGCACCGAGCTCGGCGTCAGGACGTGTTCTCGGTCTCCATTTCCACTCCACCTTTGGTTTTGGACTGGCGATGAATGGGATTTCGAAGACAGCTGCTGATCCTGCTTTCATGATGACACGATCGGAGAATGAGTCTGACAATCTCAGTGTTGGTTTAACTGGAATAGAAAGGAAAGTTTCATAGAATTCATCCTGTTTTATAAACTGTTTTTTTGAGAGTATGTATATATATAATGTTGGTGGTTTTGTAAATAATTTACACATATTTGTGGTTAGAATATGGTTTCTAGGAATAGTATTGCATTATACTCATAGGAAAGAGTAGATTAGTCCTGATAAACGTATAGCTTTATTATAAAAGTCTATTGGATATCAACAATAACTTAGTTTAAGAATACGAGAACTCACTTTTCATATCAAGTCGCGCTTCACTCTTCAATGATTCCACTTGTATAGAGTAGACGGCTAAATCCTCTTCAGTGACATTTTGGATTACAAGTCTATGGATTTTTCCGTCGTCCGATTCTTCTGTTTTTATATTCTTAGGCAATTTAGTTAATGGTTGACCATTTTTCATCCACTTGACTTTTTCACGAGATGAACGAGACAATTCACACTCCAATACAACAGTGGTATCAGTTGTTGTTTCAGTGATAGTAAGATCGGTTAATGGACGTATGAATTGTAGCGGTGAACCTGAATAACATAATTCACATATATTCATTACTGTGATAAAGGTGAATAAAGAGCTTTGATAACCTCTGTCTTATTCAATTATTTTTTCTTAAAATGGTGATAATCGAGATGCTAGGAGGAATGTCTCATTCAGATACTGCAAGAATTTAGTAATTAATGTACAAAGGGATCTAAATATGTAGGTAGGTCTTTAAAACCAGGTAAGCATACATACCATTAGAGGTTATTTTCGAGAATTATTATTATTGTTATTATTATTGTATCCTTTAATTCCTACAGGAACATAGGGCTTCAGCCGTGCGTCTCCATTGCGTTCTGTTCTCTGCTACAGTCTTCACCTGGCTCCAAGTCTGCCCACACGTTTTCATCTCCTGTTCATATGACCTCCTCCATGTTGCCCTCACACTGACGACCAACTCACCGCTTCCCTTTCGGCTTCCACTCGAGCAATGGCTTGTCTAGTGATGTCACTTGATGGCTTCCTCAGAGTATGGCCAATCCAATCCATCTCCATTCCTTCCTGCCTATTTGCTTCACAATCGGTTCCTGCTGTGTTGGTTCGCTCATTGCCAGAGATCCCTGTTGCTGATCTTTTCTGGCCATCTGATCTTGAGTATTGAGCGAAGACAACTGTTAATGAAGGTCTGTAGTTTGTTTGAGATGCTCTTTATGACGCGGAGTGCAAGTCTCTGATCCATCCGTATAGTAGCACTGACTGACTTCACATTGGAGTTGAAAATCCGGATCTTATTTTTGATGCTGAGTGCTGTTGACCTCCACACAGACTTGAGAGTAGTGAAAGCTTGTCTTGCTTTTCCGATTCTTGCTTTGATATCCTCGTCAGTTCCGCCGCCTGTAGTTGAAACGATGCTTCCAGATCGGTAGATAAAGGAGGTTGTTTCTTTCAGGTTCCTCCCATTTATGCTGATTGTTGTCAGTTGTTGTTGTTGCTTTTGGTGGTGTTGCCCAGGAATTTTGATCACCTCTGTTTTATCTATGTTCACCTGAAGTCCTATCTTTGATGCTTCTTCTGCTAACTTGTTGCTTTTCGCTTGCATGTCTTCCAGTTTGTGGGAAATCATACATATATCTTCAGCGAAGTCAAGATCCTCCAAGTTTTTTGTGTGAGTCCATTTTATGCCTGTTTCCTCATTGCCCGCTGTTTGTCGCATTATCCAGTCTACTGCAGTCAAGAAAATCATTGGTGATAGTAGGCAGATAGCTTGTCTTACTCCTGTCCTCACTTCGAAGGGTTCCGTAAGTTTCCCGTTGTGGATTACTTGGCATGCATTTTCGAGAATAAACTGTTTAGATCGACCAGCGGAATTGTAATGCATTGAAGCAGTCAACTGTTTTCGAACGAGTGATGAACAGCATGCTTACAGTTAATGATATCTACAGTCTCTCAGTTAAGCCACGCCATTGTAACCTACTAATTAGACCATAAATGTATTCAAACCGCTTTCCTTTGTCTTCCTGCCATGTCAATGAAAGACTCGCAACTGTTTATATTTAATTATGAATATATTAAACTGGAAAAATTCGCGTGATAATCACAAGACGTAACTGGGTTCTATTTTTTCAAGTATAAAGATGGCTGAGTATTCACAAATCAACTTATAAACCCGCCGATACTTTAACCCTTCCTAGAATCTTAGTGATGTAAGAACATTGTTGGCTAAATGGGTGTATATGACATAATCTAAGGTCAGTAAAGCAAAGAAGGATTATAAATCACTATTTTCCTGAAAATTTCATTCAATGCGTCCTGCACGAAACATTAAGCTTCAGGATGGTCGGGAGTGGGTGCCTTGCGCTGCGGGTTGGCCACCCCTCCGCACACCTCTTGAAATGCTCCCATATGACCGGGCGTCTTACATAGCCATTCCTGAGGAAGTCCTACTCACTGCCATCACGTGGCGGAGGTGTTTTTCACCAAAGTGAGAGGGCAAAAGCGGATGCCCGGCGCTCTTCACCGGGTTGACTGTCCATTGGATGACAGTCTAGGGGAGATGGCTAAACCCTGATTCCAAACCTCCAACGACTGGCGTATGAAGCTCACTGGAGCTCACCGGCAGACGTATGGACAAAGGGCTTGTTGGATGTCCTGGATGTCTGGCCCCATTCAAAAAGGCGTATGAACCGAACTCCGGTCACCGGCTGCCAATGGATAGTGGACTCCCTACTCCACTCCTACTGCCTTGTAGGTCACACTTGGTTGTGTAAAGGCTAGAGCTGCACTCTCAAACAAAAGGCCGAGCGATTCTGGGGACATCACTCGTACCAAATTCCCGTGAAACTTCATGAACTCTCTTACAAAACCCTGTCGCAAAACCTTGCATCAGATCGCCGCGCCTGGGCAGCGATGATTCGAGATGTTCATGAAGCTGGCTCATCCTCCCGTAGGAGATAGCCGAAGTAAAAAGAAAAAAGATTTTTGAAGTTTCAGTGTTTTTTTTTTAGGAATTTTGGGCTGCTATGCTCTTTTCAATCTCCCTATCGATTAGTAAAACTAGGCGGTTTAGGAGTGCATCAGCTGAGAATTCAACCCAGACCTGCCACGTGGTCGGCGAGTAATCAACCACAGAACTACTAACCAACTTTGTGTTAATCAATCTTGATCTATTCAGTCTTCATACAACTATTTTAAGTGTTTAAAACAGGACAGAACTTACCTAATTCAATTGAATTTGATGGTTTAGATGGTGGACTTTTTCCGGCTTCGTTTTCTGCAATAACTCGAAATTCATAACTAACAGATTCTTGCAAATTATCAGTTGGAAGTGTTGCATGCGGTTCTGTTACAGTGAAGTCAGCTGATACATCTTGCCACTGTTTAGCATCGACCGGTTTCAGTTCAATATAGAAATTACTGACTGGTGCGTCATCAGGCTGCTCCCATGTTATCTCAAGTTTTGGCTTAGAATCTGGAGATTCCGGTGGAGTGATAACAATTCTTACATTCACTGGACTTGAAGGAGCTGCAAGGGTGAAACATCAATACATGTAAGTGTAAGGTCACTTATAGTTCAGGGAAGAGCATACATTGTGTTAACATGGCCAACCGTAAATATGCATCCAAAAAAGTGCTACGGTTCTCCTCTTCTCTAACCATAAAAATGAGAACAGTGGTAAAACAGTGTGTTTCAGTCACCAGTCCTAGTTCACAAGACAGTTAAAATTCTCTAGCATTAAGTCGTCTTGATGAGGCTGTGAGTACAAACATACTTACAGTCACCCAGATGCTCTTCGTATTAATTTACTTAAATCACTTCATAGAGGGGGATCTTTAAGTGATTGCTCTGTTTTTAGATTAACTAACATTTCACGTTGCATCGAAATGCCGATGAACTTTAATTAGGACGAAATGCGCATCATGAATTCCGCTGTTAATAACTATCAACCAAAATGACAGCTTTAAGTAATGTTTAGATTTTTCGCTAATAATTCTCACCACCACCATACTATGAGTGAGTTTTCAAACAAATCAGGATTAGTGTCAAAGATACACCTGAAATTATTTGAAGGATGCTCAATAAATAAACATGTATTTCATGCAGATGTATGGAATTGTACTAAGTGAAGAGGAATCTGGTCCCTTCAACCCATTAGCTGAAAATCAAATGGCAAAGCCAACCAGCTACATTTCAACAAATTACTGTAAATATATAATTCATCTTCCTATAAGGTTGAAAATGAGTACCTGAATTTATTCAAAGCGCAAGAAGTTTACCCAAACGCTAAAGTGGACAGCAACTTTTGACATGGTTTCCCTTTTTACACAATTAGGTATAACGGTAATTAACGGCTAAACCAGGTAATTAGATAATTTCGTCTAGGGTCAAGGGGAATTTCTGAATGATTCTTCAATGATTTCTGATTCTGTTTTATTGATTTTGCTAGGTTAGCAATTAAAGCCATCCATGCTCACTTCACATTTTTATTGATAATAGAAATAGACTAATCGATATAAGTCTCCTCAAATACTGTCGGTATGCTTGGTAGAATCTCGGAGGCATAATATAAGGATAAAGTGAACATTTTTTTTACATAAAGCGTACTGACCATTGAATGCCAATTGAATTCGATAACTGAATACTCATTAAGTCAACAGTTAAAAAAAAAAATACAAAAGTGGACCATTGCTTTGAATATGTAACAAAACATAATTATCTGTATTGCATACTAACCATTTATCTTTGGCAATTTCTCGGGCTTAGCCTGTAGAAAGTGAAGAAAAACAGTAAAAGTGGTACAGATGAGAAATGCGACGAGAACAGTGTACAAATTGTGTTATACCATGTAAACAAATAAGAACAAACAATAATAAAATTCACCTGACAGAAACATTAATAGAAAAATCATTTGCAAAGTACAAAAATAACTACGCGGAAAAGAGCACCTAAGGAAAATTCACCAAAATACTCTCCAAAACATCAATATGAACCGACAAAAAAATTACATAAAGAGCCACCCAGATATCAAAAATAATCACCGAAAACAGGGATTATTAGATTAAAAATCACCAAGTGTAGCCAAAACAACAGACACTGAAACTGTCAAAATACACAATCATACCATTCGAATGCAACATCAAGCAGACATACGACCACTGGGTGCAATCCACAACCACCTTGTTTGTCAATTCAAAATGACAAGGGAATCACAAGGAAGAACACCGAAAATGCATTACTCGTGAGATGTCGTCTCACACAGAGTCCAAACAAGAAACACACCGTTGCAAACAAACACTTATCTGAATATCGGTGAGATGCAAATGGCATGATGATCATCAATTAATATGTGGAATCATGGATAGATAGACCATGGAAACTCCTAACCGACAGGACATGCATGCAATGGGAGGTGCGACAATAGCCAATTCTCGTAAAATATTATCCAGAAATGTCACCAGTAAGTTCAAGAACAACCGAAGCGGAACAACTAGCCATGCCACTAAGCCTACGACTGTGCCACGAATGTATGCACAGAGCAGTAACTCGCCTCAGAAGTAGTCAACTTCTCCTCCTTCTCCTGCACAATGCGTTCCTCCATCTTCACAGTCACCGTCTCCTTCGATTCCACGATCTGCTTCACACCGACGGTCGCCTGCTCCACCTGTATTGCAGACTCATCCGTCACTCCAACCGTGCTCTTCACATCCGTCACCTCCGCCTCTCCTTCACTCACAACGGAAACAGGAACTGTCTCCTCTTCCACAGGTACCTCCTCCACATCAACCTCATGCACAGGAGCCTCCTCTGCCTTCTCCACCTTCGTCGGCTTCTCGGAAACTGCCACGGCTGCCTCACTCGGCTGTTCCACCACAACCGCACTCTCCGCACCGTCAGACTCATCCATCTCACTCACACCCTCCGACGCCCAATCCATAGACTTTGTCACAGTCTCTTTCCCTTCTTGTACAACAACATCCTCGGCTGTCGTCGTCAATGTGTCTTCAGCTTCACCCACCTGCCGGTATGCAAAAGAACGGAATTATGGTCACGATGTCAGTCTTAAAGCACGCGTTTCTCCGAAAACACACTCAATGAACGGGATCAAACTCATCTCCTTTCGGAGGCAGTAGATGCACACTATCACCATATACTACACAAGACATAGCTGTACGGGAAATACTTGCTGCACAACCCTATGAGATAACAAGGCTCGCACACACGCACACACACACACACGCACGCACGCACGCACACAGAGTCAGTTCAACACACTCCCTTCAGTAACCTACGTGAACCACAAACCACACACTACACAAAACATTACAACGGGAACTTTCAAAATCACAAAACTCACACTCACACACAAACACATTCACACGCACACGCACACAAGGAAACAAACGAAGAGAAAGACAGATAAACAGAACAGATACGCACACATACACACTAGACACTGCCATGCTGTACTATACTAGATTATACTATTTTAAACTCTACTGTACTATACTTTACTATACTATGCTATACTATACTATACTATATTACACTATACTACACACACACACACACACGCCCACACGCACCAGCACACACACACACACGCTTTCACACTCACACTCACACACATACACAACCACACAAACAGAAATAACAATGACAATGAAAACATCTGATTAGCGATGATCAACAATACCAATCAGTCGTCTAACCGTAGCCCAAATACACACCTACATCGAGAATTTAAGAATAGTTCACAGTGTTATCAACGAACCGAATGTAGTGGTCAGAAATTCACCTAGTGTAGCCAAAACAACAGACACTAAAACTGTCAAAATACACAATCATACCATTCGAATGCAACATCAAGCAGACATACGACCACTGGGTGCAATCCACAACCACCTTGTTTGTCAATTCAAAATGACAAGGGAATCACAAGGAAGAACACCGAAAATGCATTACTCGTGAGATGTCGTCTCACACAGAGTCCAAACAAGAAACACACCGTTGCAAACAAACACTTATCTGAATATCGGTGAGATGCAAATGGCATGATGATCATCAATTAATATGTGGAATCATGGATAGATAGACCATGGAAACTCCTAACCGACAGGACATGCATGCAATGGGAGGTGCGACAATAGCCAATTCTCGTAAAATATTATCCAGAAATGTCACCAGTAAGTTCAAGAACAACCGAAGCGGAACAACTTGCCATGCCACTAAGCCTACGACTGTGCCACGAATGTATGCACAGAGCAGTAACTCGCCTCAGAAGTAGTCAACTTCTCCTCCTTCTCCTGCACAATGCGTTCCTCCATCTTCACAGTCACCGTCTCCTTCGATTCCACGATCTGCTTCACACCGACGGTCGCCTGCTCCACCTGTATTGCAGACTCATCCGTCACTCCAACCGTGCTCTTCACATCCGTCACCTCCGCCTCTCCTTCACTCACAACGGAAACAGGAACTGTCTCCTCTTCCACAGGTACCTCCTCCACATCAACCTCATGCACAGGAGCCTCCTCTGCCTTCTCCACCTTCGTCGGCTTCTCGGAAACTGCCACGGCTGCCTCACTCGGCTGTTCCACCACAACCGCACTCTCCGCACCGTCAGACTCATCCATCTCACTCACACCCTCCGACGCCCAATCCATAGACTTTGTCACAGTCTCTTTCCCTTCTTGTACAACAACATCCTCGGCTGTCGTCGTCAATGTGTCTTCAGCTTCACCCACCTGCCGGTATGCAAAAGAACGGAATTATGGTCACGATGTCAGTCTTAAAGCACGCGTTTCTCCGAAAACACACTCAATGAACGGGATCAAACTCATCTCCTTTCGGAGGCAGTAGATGCACACTATCACCATATACTACACAAGACATAGCTGTACGGGAAATACTTGCTGCACAACCCTATGAGATAACAAGGCTCGCACACACGCACACACACACACACGCACGCACGCACACAGAGTCAGTTCAACACACTCCCTTCAGTAACCTACGTGAACCACAAACCACACACTACACAAAACATTACAACGGGAACTTTCAAAATCACAAAACTCACACTCACACACAAACACATTCACACGCACACGCACACAAGGAAACAAACGAAGAGAAAGACAGATAAACAGAACAGATACGCACACATACACACTAGACACTGCCATGCTGTACTATACTAGATTATACTATTTTAAACTCTACTGTACTATACTTTACTATACTATGCTATACTATACTATACTATATTACACTATACTACACACACACACACACGCCCACACGCACCAGCACACACACACACACGCTTTCACACTCACACTCACACACATACACAACCACACAAACAGAAATAACAATGACAATGAAAACATCTGATTAGCGATGATCAACAATACCAATCAGTCGTCTAACCGTAGCCCAAATACACACCTACATCGAGAATTTAAGAATAGTTCACAGTGTTATCAACGAACCGAATGTAGTGGTCAGAAATTCACCTAGTGTAGCCAAAACAACAGACACTAAAACTGTCAAAATACACAATCATACCATTCGAATGCAACATCAAGCAGACATACGACCACTGGGTGCAATCCACAACCACCTTGTTTGTCAATTCAAAATGACAAGGGAATCACAAGGAAGAACACCGAAAATGCATTACTCGTGAGATGTCGTCTCACACAGAGTCCAAACAAGAAACACACCGTTGCAAACAAACACTTATCTGAATATCGGTGAGATGCAAATGGCATGATGATCATCAATTAATATGTGGAATCATGGATAGATAGACCATGGAAACTCCTAACCGACAGGACATGCATGCAATGGGAGGTGCGACAATAGCCAATTCTCGTAAAATATTATCCAGAAATGTCACCAGTAAGTTCAAGAACAACCGAAGCGGAACAACTTGCCATGCCACTAAGCCTACGACTGTGCCACGAATGTATGCACAGAGCAGTAACTCGCCTCAGAAGTAGTCAACTTCTCCTCCTTCTCCTGCACAATGCGTTCCTCCATCTTCACAGTCACCGTCTCCTTCGATTCCACGATCTGCTTCACACCGACGGTCGCCTGCTCCACCTGTATTGCAGACTCATCCGTCACTCCAACCGTGCTCTTCACATCCGTCACCTCCGCCTCTCCTTCACTCACAACGGAAACAGGAACTGTCTCCTCTTCCACAGGTACCTCCTCCACATCAACCTCATGCACAGGAGCCTCCTCTGCCTTCTCCACCTTCGTCGGCTTCTCGGAAACTGCCACGGCTGCCTCACTCGGCTGTTCCACCACAACCGCACTCTCCGCACCGTCAGACTCATCCATCTCACTCACACCCTCCGACGCCCAATCCATAGACTTTGTCACAGTCTCTTTCCCTTCTTGTACAACAACATCCTCGGCTGTCGTCGTCAATGTGTCTTCGGCTTCACCCACCTGCCGGTATGCAAAAGAACGGAATTATGGTCACGATGTCAGTCTTAAAGCACGCGTTTCTCCGAAAACACACTCAATGAACGGGATCAAACTCATCTCCTTTCGGAGGCAGTAGATGCACACTATCACCATATACTACACAAGACATAGCTGTACGGGAAATACTTGCTGCACAACCCTATGAGATAACAAGGCTCGCACACACGCACACACACACACACGCACGCACACAGAGTCAGTTCAACACACTCCCTTCAGTAACCTACGTGAACCACAAACCACACACTACACAAAACATTACAA